TGTACACGTGGAGCCCAAAGTGCGCCTGCTAGCTGTCCCCGTCGAGTCAACCTGTGAAGAGAGGTAAATTATATGGCTCGATGAAGTAATTATCATAAAAATTTAGAAATGAACAATCCGAACTCACGAGTGGTCGGCAGGGAGGACGGTCGGCTGCACGTTGCCCGGAAACACCTGCCTAAGTCCGAACTGTCTCATCACACGCTGCGGGCAGTGAGGCTCAACGAAAATGTCGAACACCATCGGCAGGATGGTGAGCCAGTAAGCCTGGTCGCGTGTGCACAAGGACGAAAGTCCTAGCGGTGCTCTCGCAGCGACGGCCTCTTCTGTGTACGGCTCCCAGATGACGTCGCTCGGCTGGAGACGGTCAAACTCGAACACGAAGTCCGGGTAACCACGTCTCACCTGGACGTGAGCGTAACGACGCTGCAATAAACATGATCGGAATTAGACATGTTATGTGAAGAAAAAAAAAGAAGACGACTGATAAACTTATAACGCAGCGAAGTTGCACTAACCCCACGTCGACACCAGTAAGTCCCCATCGTGGGACCGTCCTCTGGCCACTGCGCGCTGCGACCAACCCCGTAGGGTGCGCTGTCCACCACTGGTCGACCTATGGCAAACCTCTCGGCTGCCCAAAGCTGAAGCAACATAGGGCAGCCAGCGATGATCGCTCCCGCGTCAGTCTTCGTGCACGCCTCACAGAGGGCACGGTACGTGGCTGCTAGCACGGCAGAACCCCTGCTCCACTGCGGCACGTCCTGTGGCTGAGCATCCGCGATGGACCGTGCGTAGTGGACCAGCCGGAAGTCCACAGCGTGCCCGTGGGTGCTAGTGAACATCACCCACCCGAACAACCACAACAGGTACGCCTCAAGGGAGCGTCGGACCGAGTAATCATCAGGGTCAGGGTGCAGAAGGTCCGCCTACAATTAAGAATGAAATTTTAGTACAAAACACTCATCCGGTCGCAAATAAGCATGTATGATAATAACAACTTATTTACTTACAGTGAACTGGAGCAACCAAGCCTTGCTAGGCCCGACTGTAGAGTACGGAGGAAGGGTGTTGGCCGGTCCTAGGTGTGGAAGGCGCATCACCTGCTCGAAGCGCGCAGTGATATCCTCCTTCCACCCAAAAACACCGTCCACGGGACCAACTGGTGCTCCCGCCAGCGGTAGCCCGAGCAGGTACGACACGTCCTGCAGTGTCGGAGCCATCTCCCCACAGGGAAGGTGGAACGTGTGCGTCTCAGGTCTCCAGCGGTCTACAAGAGCGGCAAGGAGTGACCGGTCTGCATCCCACCGCTTCGCTGGGTCACGGTCGTCCGCCGCCGCCTCAACAAGCCTACAAAGTGGTAGAAGACCTGCCGCACGCAACCTGTATAGAGCAAACTTCAAACATAAGTACGACACAAAGCAAAGTTGAGTTGAAATGTGAACATACGCGTACCAAGGAACGTGACGGGGGTCGACACGCAACCACTCGCGCGACGTGCGTGGACGGAAGGTGCCGAGCTGTGCACCCTCGACTGCTGACAGGAACGAGCGGTGGTTCCTGTCAATCCCACGGTTCAACAGCGCCGGTGTGTCGTACGCCATACCTGCATCAAATAGGTTGATCAGAAACATATAAATAATTAGTTCAACATAAGTAATAAATGTTCATAAGCGAATTACTAACACATACTAAACAAGAGTACAAACAAACAAAAGTGTTTAGTCCGAACACTCATCACCAGGTGGTCACCTACCATCACTTGCCTGTCCAGATGGACTAGCATCTGCGCCGCTTGGAACTTCTGCATTCTTCGGGCATTTCTTGTAAGTATGGCCGCGCAGATCACACTTGCTGCAGCGTAAAGTCCTCCCACCTGCTTCTGACTCATCCATATCATTTCTGATGCGTCTAGTTTGGCGTCGACCCTTTTTCACCCTTAACTTAGATGGATCTGGAATATAAAAAACTTGGGCACTCAGCGTTGTGTAAGATCCTGAGATCCCGAACCCATATATCTCCTCACTCCATGTATGAAAGATTGCTTCTTTCCTAAAATAATTTGAGACGTACACATTGGGAGATATGCCACAATCACCGGCAGCAGCAAGAACGTGTGAGCAAGGAAGGTGATGAAGCTTCGGCTTCATACAACTGCAGGTACATCCACCATCCGCCTTCAAGACACATTCCTGCACGGCTTGCTTGCGATAGATATCACGCCTGCTCCTATCAACACACATTATTTCATACCGATGCACTTGTGTGCCTTGAGCAACAACTCGATGTCTCCGTGCCTTTTTGATTTTATCTTCCATGTACTTTGTCACTACGTTGCCAAACACTATGTTGTTATCAGCCATGGACGGACCAATTTTCTTGTATCGATCCCTAAAGTACGCTTGCGTGCCGTGAAGGATGAATTCAACAATAGCAACCAATGGAAGTACCCGAACTCCTCGCATTACCCAGTTGTACACCTCTGCCAAATTGGTTGTCATTATGCCATACCGAGATCCATCGGTGTCGAACAATAGAGACCACTTCTCCTTAGGCTCATTCTCAATCCACTGAGTGAAATTTCTGATGGACGACCCTGACCTCCTTCTCATTGTTGGTGGGTCATCATGTAATGCACCAAGAGGTATGGGAGGCTCGTCACCTTCAACTAGTGGTCTGCGAGATTGCTCATCTGTTTGCTTCGTTGTCAACTCATCCAACTTGTCCCACAACTCATTAAATTTCTTCTCTTGGTTCTTGCACCCTCAATTACCTCGTTCTCCTTATACTCCCAGGGTACATGATCACCCTCTGATATAACAAGTCCAGAGAAGTCCTCATTTGCCCAATCAGTGGCCATTACATCACCTTCCTCATCGGATGATGCGTCGTCGTCCGCTTCCTCATTATCCGAATCTTCCCTCTCCATTTCATCAACAATTATACCGACTCTCTCCCCCTCATCCGCCATGCCCATAGCCTGCTCCTCCCTTGGTTGATTTTCCTCATTTTGCATCGATGGTCCAACAACATCCCCTGCATTGATAGGACCCTCTACATCTTCGGTTTGCATTGAAACATTTATATCTTTCTCTTGTACTGACACAAATATAACGAGGGGCCATGACCGTTCAAAAGCCATTTCCACATACCGTCTCCAAGCATCAGTGCTGTCCATCGGCATTAGTTCCCAAAAATAACCTTCTGTTGCACGACTCACTACAACTGACACTGACATTGTGTAGACTTCTTGGTCTATTCTAAATCCTCTCAACAACCAACTATAAATTGACTGAAATGTTCTCTCCGCAGGCCTATCGATGCCCTTAGATGTCATTACAAAATCTGACAGATCAACACCATCTGGACCAAATCTAATATTTCCTTCACCGTGAACTATCTGAAATGTGACCTTACTTGACATTGTGCCTGATGAAAACAATAACTGCGTTAACCTCGCATTTCTGTACTACGCCCTAAGTTACATTCTCTACAATATTGTTCTCTAAATTTCTAAAATTACGTTACATTCTCCAGATCAAACTAAACTACATCTTACAATTAACACTACTATCTATGTCTCAATTCATACTATTATATTCTATGCTCTGGATCTACACATATGTGTTGTGTGCTACAGATGTGCTAAAATATATGGAACTAAAACTAAAACGCAACATATATACTCAAACATAACATATTAGTACAAATGCAAAAGATGTATGGGAGCATACCTGTGATGAATTGAGCGAACCAGCAGGGCTTCGCCGCTCCCCTTCTGCTGCCCTCCCCTCTCTCTCTTTCGTTTTTTTTGGATTTTTAGTGAATATAATGAAATTTCACAGAGGAGGGACTGGGCTTTATAGGGGGGAGGCAAAAATCGCCCTCCCCCAGGGCGGCAAGGGGGCCGCCTGCAAAATTCCATGCCCCCCCTCGCCGCCCATTTGCAGGCGGCCCCCCCCACAGTACAAAATCGCCCTAGCGGAGGGCGGCAAGGGGGCCGCCTGCAAAATTCCATGCCCCCCCTCGCCGCCCATTTGCAGGCGGCCCCCCGCACAGTATAAAATCGCCCTAGCGGAGGGCGGTAAGGGGGCCGCCTGCAAATTTCGTTGACGGCCGTCGCCCGAGAGCGAACGGCCGTCTGCCACGTCATTTTCGCCGCCCTCTGAGAGGGCGATTTTTCCCAGAGGGCGGTAGGGGACTACTTCCGTCAATTTTCAAAATGAAAAATTATTTTTGTAAAACTTTTAATAAAAAAAATTATAAATAAAAAAAATTCATGGAAATTTCATATGGTCGTGTAGTTTTTGTTTGGACTTCGGCACAGGGCCTAGTTGGCTAAAAGGCCCAGGGCTGACGGCCCGGTCCATGTCATGGGGTTTTGGCCTAGCCCAAGCATGACATGGTCCGACTGGTGTCAGGCCCGTGCCTTGGCCTTTACCTCGACACGATGGGCAGGCCGGCTCGGTATGGCTTGGTCCAACGATCAAGGAGGCAAAACAGACGAGGGAGCCAAAATAGGCTTATTCTAGCTCTATAAGGCATGGCCCAAAGAGACGAGTGATTCAAAATAGACTTACTCCAGCCATTTAGGAGACGGCCCAAATAGATGAGGGAGGAAAATAGACTTTTTCCAAGGAGGAGCATGGTGGCTTTCGTGCCTTCGGTCCGGCCCGAGTCTTATTAGGCCGTGCCTAAGCTATTGGTGCAGTACATTGGCGGCCTGCCCCGGTCGGCGTGTATGTCGGGCTGGCACGGCCCGACTCTTCTTGGGCCTGGGTCGGGTCGTGTCGGGTGGCCCAGTTTGCCATATGGCCTAGAGGGCTTCACCGAGAAAGAAGTGTTTAGTTCACGTTAAAATTGAAAGTTTAATTGAAATTGAAACGATATGACGGAAAAGTTGAAAATTTGTGTGTAGAAAAATTTTAATGTGATAGAAAAGTTGGAAGTTTGAAGAAAAAGTTGGGAACTAAACCAGCAAGTCTTTTTTTAAGGGTTACATGATGAGAGAGAACACTGGTGGTCGTCTGGTCGGGTGACCGGAGGACAAAGATACGATACATCCAGTCCTCACCCCGCCGCCGCCATCCAGGCGCCGACGACCTCCCATCTCGGAGCCGGCCGGTGACCACCGTGCCACCCTTCTTCCCCCCACCTCCACCACGCCGCCGCTCCACCCCCGCAGATCCAGAACGCATCCCCCGCCGCCACCAGCCGCCATCCCGGCTTTGACGACCACCATCCGGAGCAGGTGACCACTGACCACCGCGCCACGCCGCATCCCCCGCCATCCACCACCTGCCCTGCTCGCGATGTGAGCTTTCCTCTATAAACTTCACCTTCACCTGCCCAGTCCAGTGGCGGCTCATCAAAGATTCACAGGAACGATGGCAGCCTTCAGATGTGTTCCGCCATGCCTCGGGAGCAATATCCTTGATCCGGGTAGGGGTTTTCTTTCGGACAAGTGCTTCAACTGCCGCGAGGTTGGTCATCGGGTAGCAACGTGTCCGGTTGTTCCTCCCCGCCCGCAGCGTGCTCGACCGGTTGCCACCGGGAATCCACCACGCTCCTTGTCAAAGCTGCGAGGGAAGTGCTTCAATTGTCTGGCAGCTGATCACCGTGTCGCGGCTTGCACTCATCCTCCCCGTTGCCTTTGTTGTTGGGGATAAGGCCATTTCGCTCGGTGGTGCCCTTCTTCAGGCCACTTCTCCTCAGCTTCACAGAGGGCTGTCCCTGTTGCCTACTCTTCACAGAGTGCAGGGGGATACCAGTCGATGTTGATCACGTTCAATGCCGACGCGATTTCTACAGCTTTGATTTCTCAAGCTATTAGCGAGAAGCTTTGTATCCCACCTGCCGAGTTCCGGGTGGAGATTCTTCCAAAGATGACAAATGACAATGTTGGTGCCGAGTCCCGGGTGGAGGTTCTTCCAAAGATGACAAATGACAATGTTGGTGTCCCCAATAAGGTGGTTTTGGGGTGCCATTTGCCAGATGGTCAGGAAGTGCCCTCTTCTCCACCCGAGGGAGATTTGGAGAAGCTTACAGCAGCGCCCCTTCCTTCAGTTGTATCGCCCCTTTCTCCGAGCGCACCTAACACAGCCGTCGCATTGACTGTTTCAACATCCCATGGGAGTGTTCCTTCATCTCTCAATGAAGGACATGGGGTATCTAGCAAGATAGCTGCACCAAAGGAAGAGCATGTTACTCCAACTATGGACCCTCCATCTAGGTGTGAGCATCTTCCTCTTGAGGTTGCACCAAGCAACCTGGTGACAGATAAAGCAGAGCTACTTGAGATCACAAAAGCTCCAGCGGTGAAGAATAGGTTGGCCAAAAGAGTGCGGCAAAAGATTATCACTGCCACCTCTCGAAGAAGTGTCCCTCTACCTTCAAACATGAAGAAAAGGCGACTCCTCATTGACCAAATGAAAACATATGTACTCATGAAGAAGCTAGGCATTATCACAAAGGATGAGGAGGTGGATGAAGACACTATGGATAGGTGCATTGCGTTCCTAAAAGAGGCATACCCGGGACACTATGTTCAGCTTGCTGTAATCTTATTTGGGCTACACAACGTGGCTCGTGTTCCAGGACCTTAACCTAGATTCATATTAGTTTGGTCAGATGCGTGACTTGTTTAGGTGTTTTAGGTGTTTTGGGTGCTTTGGTGTGACTTGTTTAGGTGTTGGGTGTTTTAGGTGTTTTGGGTGCTTTGGTGTTTGCAGGTGTTTAGTGTAGCTTTGGGGAATGTATTATAGATGTTTTGGCTGCTTTGGTGTTTGCAGGTGTTTAGTGTAGCTTTGGAGAATGTATTATAGATGTTTTGGCTGCTTTGGTATTTCAGGTGTCTAGTGTAGCTTTGGGTAATGATCTTGAGGTGCTTGTAGGATGGTGTTTTCAGTGGGAACCCTTTCTTGGGTCGATGTGTATCTCTTCTTTATCAATGAAATGAAGCAGTTTCTGCCTTTGTTTTTTTTTATAAAAAAAAGAGCATAAACTTGAAAGGCATAGGGATAGCCTTCACATTAAATTATGAAATGCATAAGCATTATCTATTTGCTGTAGTAAAAAGTGATAAATATGGGCCCTACAATACTTTTTTTTTTCAAATGACTCTTACAATGATAGGTTCATGTGATCTTGCTGACCATGCACAAGGTTTTAGCAGAAATATTGGCAGAGGGTGAAAAGTAACAATCTAATCAGCAGTTAAGGTTCGAATTGAAAGGTTTTTTTACTCTATATATATATATATGTGTGTGTGTGTGTGTGTGTGTGTGTGTGCTGCTCATCTTGGAATATTTGTTTGTTGATGTTAGTGAACTTTGGCAAAAGGGGGTGTTGGTGAATTCTGGGGGAGGGATGTGTGGGTGGGTGGGGAGGTGTGTGCATGTGCGTGTGAACCATCTACATTACTACTATGGGTTGCAAGGATATGGTCTGTGACTGAGTCCACCTTGAGTTGAGTATCTTTAACTTTAGTGCCTTTTTGTTTTATGTTGTGTATTGACATTGTTGCCCTGCTGCATTCTTTTTCTTTCCTTTTCTTTTTGGGAAATATGCAAAAGGTTTTGCATATCAGCAGGTTAGAAAGGTTCGCCTACAAAGATCAGATGCTTGAAGGCCGAAGCCAACAATTGGAAAACCAATCAAACATGAAAGAAATTAGGTTTACACTCTTGCAACACGAATTAGCATCCTAGAGAGCAAAATCTCTACTGTGCGTATTCTTCTTTATATGGTGCATAATGAAATACCTTATTGTATCATGTTACTAATTTGGTTAGCATGGGTTATTTGATTTCAAAATTTGCACTTGTACTCTTTAACCTGAAGTATCAAAATGGATTTTAACTACTCTGTGAACAAAAGGATGGCTCCTAATTCAGGTTTTCATTGTTGTACCCAACAATAATCACCATGGTTTTAAATCATTAGCTACTGTATGTGCTAGTAAAACTCACTTAACTGATTGTTTCTTTCAAATGCAGGGTACCGATCTTGTTGTTGCTGTTGATGATGATGGTTTCTTCAAAGACAAGATCTCCGAATTTAATGGTCTACTTGTCACAGACAAAGAAACCAACAAATATGTAATCAATGCTGTAAAGGTAAGTGTTTTCAAATGTTCAGTTGCCGGTAACTTATGCTAACTGTAAGCAGTAAATTTGCATTCAGCTTGTTCAGAAAAAAATCATGCGTTTTTTTACTTGATGTTTTGTATGCTGAAATTGTATGCTACATGTAATATTCAGAAAAAAGGAAGACTTGTTAGTCACGGAAGCGTTATACATAAGTATCCATACTGTTGGAGATCTAATACACCTCTCATATATCGGGCAGTTCCAAGCTGGTAGGTATTTTCTGCTGGTGTAAATTTGGACCATATACTAGCACATTCTTCTGCTGGCTTTAAATTGAGCTGTAGTACTCTGATATTCCTGCTCCAATAAAAGTTTTTTTTTGGCATGTTTATTCTTAAAAAAACGCCGAATGCTTATCTGAAGGTTTTTAATTTGATTGAAAAATTGAATATAGGGCTTTGAATTGAAATATACTGATAGAAAATACATTTCCATTTTTTTTCACATTTGGGTTACTTCTCTTACCTTTTGTTTATACCTTTTGATGTAACTCAGAGGAATGTAGCCTAAAGATCTTTGTTGTAGTGTAGGTTCATCAGAGTTGAAAGGATTAGAGATCAGTTGCTGGAATGTAATAAGGAGACATACTGGGTGCCTGATTACGTTAAGGTATGCTGAACTTTGTGTTTTAATATTGGCTTTCATTATTTGTATTGTTAACATCTTTGTTATATAAATGTGACCAAAGGAAAACCCTGTAGTCAAGTGTTGTGCTACTCGAGTGGGCTACCACCTTTGATGCTAGCCTTTCTCTCATGTAATCTGTGTGACTCCTTTCAACCTTATAAACATTGGCAGGCAGTTATTTTCCAGCCCAGAAAAAAGGGTGGAAGACACGTAGCAGGAAATCTTATATTGTAAATTCTGAAAGAGCTAAAATCAAATATTGTTCCTAGCTTAGCATGCTTGTTGAACGAGTTGTTTGTCCTTAATTCTTAACTTGGCTCTTTCTTGGATACAGAGACAATTTTCAAAACCACTTGCTCCTTCACTGATATTTCCAATGACAATCAATTAGTAGAAAATTTCATCCAAAACATTTTTAAAACTCAAATTTGGCCTTTTAGCCAGAATTTTTATTTTTTTGGGTGCTGGGCCCTGATTACTCAAATTTAAATGTAAAATGTTCCATCTTTTTGGCAAGTTAGATTGGACTGATAAATATTTTTAGAACCAACATAAAAAAGCTAATGCTGTTTTCCCCTGATGCAAACCATGAAGTTCAGTACTTCAATGCTCATTTTCAAAGGTGTGTTTAGTTTTGCTCTTTGCTGATACTTGGTTGATTTCTATTCTGATGCTTTCATGGTGTAATTCTGTAGTACTAAATTTGTAGGTACAGGACATTGGTTGTGCTAACATATTATGTATGGATGGACGCTCTACTGCTACTTCATTCATGCATATGTGCAACCAAATCATTTCTCATATCAGAGTTTGCACGTGACTTTTTGTCATGCGTTTTCAGATTGCACGTTTAAGACTTTCCATGTGGTTTCTTGCCGGTGTTTATGCTGAAATGTTTCTTGTTACTTCCGAGAAGCTCTTGTGAGAGATTTAGTTTGTAGTAACTAGGAAACCACTTAAGATTTTTAATAAATTGTTGCAAATTGATTTTGTGTTTCTTTTACCTAGATTTGTGGTTCTTGACAATTCATAATGCAGGAAAAGAGATTCCATAACTGGCTTGAAGGGGCTAGAGACTGGGCTGTTAGCCGAACTAGATTCTGGGGCACTCCTCTTCCTCTATGGATCAGTCAAGACGGAGAAGAAATAATTGTTATGGACTCTGTTGATAAACTCGAAAAGTTGTCTGGTGTCAAGGTTAATTATCTTTGTTATGAGAGTTTTTTCCCCTTTGCTGGTCAACTAACGCCGGTCCACTATAATTTTAATTTGAGAGTAGTACTATTTTTTTTTCATATTTCTTGAGTTCCAAAATTTACATAGCACTTGACACAAACCTGTTCTAATATAAATCCTCTAAAAATCTTTACCAGATTAGTGATCTTCACCGACACCATATAGATGGCATCACAGTTCCCTCTCAGAGAGGGGAAGAGTTTGGGGCGTTGAAACGCGTTGATGAGGTAAGTTGATCGCAACTCATAATTTTACATCACCTTGTACCTCTCAATTTCCTTGAGTCTTGATTCATGTCCCAAACAGAGAAAAAAATTATTTCTCTGTTCTTGTTTAAGATGTACTTTTTTGATTTGGATTATTAGGGGACACTCTACCTAAAAATAATTTTCTAACATAGCATATGCAAAGAGTAGAGTAGTGTTCATATTGTATGAAAATAACTGTAGGTACATAGTTCCACATCTTATTGCAAATTCATGTTTGTAGAATGCTTTTACCTAATCTTGATCAACAATTATAAAATGCATCTGTAAAATATTATGTCTAAGTTTAGAAAAGTTTAGATTGATTATTCTATTTATAACATCATAGAAGTTCATTGAGATAGTGTAATATCTTAAATTATTAGTAATATCTTAAATTACTAGGAAGGCATATGAACTGTAGCGTGGCCAATTCATGTTCATCTTTTTTCCCCTTTTGTTTTTCATGCACTTTTCAGTTTTGAGTATTAATGTACATAATTTAAAGAGAAATCATTCATCCAAGTTATATTGATAATTCAGCATATTGCAGGACTTACATTATGAGTCTAGATTTGCTTAATGCCTGAACGGATAAATAGCTATTGCCGTGTGTTTTAGTGGCATAAATTTTAATGCTATCGGGAGTCTATAGTAGAAGTTGTAGCCTGCAATATAGGGTATTGAAATAAGCTAGCCCAATTGGAAGCATGGTGCATACTAAATTTGATGAATTCAGCTTGATTACTCCTTGAATTATATGCAAATCTAGGTGTTGTGAAATGATTTATGTCAATTTCATACAAGTTAAAGCAGTGATGTTGGATATCATGTGTATACCCTGTCTTGTCTTCACTGATGACTGTTATAAATTGAGAAAGTATCTTGTGCTCACCATTCAGGTTTTTGATTGCTGGTTTGAGAGTGGATCCATGCCATATGCCTACATTCATTACCCATTTGAGAATCGCGAACTGTTTGAAAAGAATTTTCCCGGAGATTTCATAGCCGAAGGGTTGGACCAAACTCGTGGATGGTCTGTTTTATCTCCTGATCTTTTATTTAACAGCTGTTCTTTTTTAATTTCCCTTGATGGCTCAACATTGTACCTTTTTTCGGAGTTCGTTCTTTCTGTAGATTCATGATCATAAAACTTGATAGTATTTTGTGCATATAAAATTTTAATCGTTAATGCAATTTAATAAGAAAACCTTGTCCAGATGTGCTTACCTGTTTACAAATGTGTCGAAGGACCTATTCAACATATAAAATTTTGGATCTTGCAGGTTCTATACTCTCATGGTCCTGTCCACAGCTTTGTTTGGGAAACCTGCATTTAAAAATCTTATATGCAACGGTCTGGTCTTGGCTGAGGATGGCAAGAAAATGAGCAAAAGTAAAAATAATTACCCTTCACCCATGGAAGTCATTGATAATTATGGAGCGGTATGTTCTAGTTGAAGTCAGTGATATTGGCTTATGCTGCTTATCATTTTACTGATTTATGCTGCGTCTAGATTTTTTTTATCTTGATTATACATATGATTAATTTTATAACTTCTGAGCTGCGATTCATACGTTCAACATCCTTTTCTTTTCCAGGATGCCCTGAGGCTATATGTAATAAATTCTCCTGTCGTCCGTGCGGAGTCCCTACGATTCAACAAAAATGGTGTCCATGGTGTGGTAAGTTTCTTTGTTCCTTGCATTTATGTA